AAGATATTAACTGGTCTCCAGACAAAGTGTCAGGGGTCTCAAGCTGTGGAATGTAACTTACTTTAGAATATCATACATCTATTTCATTATTTGTGCTAACACAAAATTCATACATGACAGTGTAAATATAACGCCTATATTTAATAACAAGAATACAGTTTAGAGTTTCTGACATGCATCTATCCTATGCTAGTGATGTCACAGTGACCATGCAGTACACTTTTACCTCCAGTTCTTCTGGGTTGTGAAGTTTGGCAAGTTCCTCTTCGATCCTATGGAGGCGTGCTTGCATATCTCTTTGTTCCTTATTCTCTAGTAAAGCTCGTTCTCCAAAATGTTCAAAACTGGACAAGTTTTTAAACCCCACTGGTGTGAAAAGCTTTTTATGGTGCTGATATGTGAACAAAAACACATCATAATAGCTATTAAGAAAATTGGTGTTTTTCCCATAAGTTTTTATACAACAACCATGCAAAATATGTATGTGACTTTATAGACACAAAACGGTGCACTATAAAAGAAAAAGGCAAAAAATTCTTTTGATGCAGTGATTTAGAAAAGTCTGAAAAGGGTTCAATAAGTCCTTTCTTATGAATTTCTTTTTCTCTAGAATAGTCTTAAAGACAACCAAAAAAACCAAAACATACACAGTCATGTGACTATAAAAGAACACCGATAAAATCTGAGCTTTAAAAGATGGGAACAAACATTTGACAATGCATTTTCTTTACTAAAGTTGGATAGAATTTCTTATTAGATATTTAAAATTTTTTTAAAACAAACATTCAAATTTATCAATTAAGGAAGATACATAATATCATATTTCAAATATGTCATATGAAGAAGTATATACCGGTATGTGTTATACTAACATTTTGTGAATAACGTGCTGACACTTCCTCAAATTCCTCTGGAGGAAGAAGTTCTTTCAATCGACTGTCAATTCCGTCCAGTACCCTCATTTCCTCGGGGTCTGGACAGAATCCCTCCCCTGGGTGTACCACCATCTGGTATCCACTCTCAGCACCATCCTACAGTCAAACCAGAGTATTTACATACCAAACCTCCACAGCTGACATATGCATAACATTCTAACATACTCTGTTCTAGATTTGAATTCTTGAATTTAATTCTAGCAAATAATCTTTTTCATCGTATAATGTATGTAATCTTCATTACTGATAGCATACCTCATCCTCCAGTATTTCTGGAAGATCATCCAGATCCTTCAGTAATTCACCTACTCGGACCTTCTCTTCATCAGTCATGGCAACTTCACTTCCAGCATCTTTAGCTAACTAAAAAATTACAAAAAAATATTTTGTAACAATTTCTTAAAAAAAAAAATCCAAGTATAGAACCTGTCAAAGTTAAAATTTCTTATCAACAACAGGAGGCATTGCCATCCCTTTTAATAAAAATATTTAATAATTAGGTTATTTACTCCGGTAATAAATATATTTACCCAGTATAACAAAAGAGAAATGATAAATATATGTAGATGTTAACATATTTTAAGCATCTTTAATAAAAAAAAAAACATTTTAGGGATGGTAATCGAATACAGAATTTCTAATTGGTTAACCGCAAGAGGTTCCAACCGATTAACCGGTTAATCGTATTAAAATACACATTATATAATTTTCTTGGCATTTTTTTTTTTTCAAGTAGCTTCATCCGTGTACACAAAAAGACTCAAAATGACAGAGGTTTTAAATATTTTACTTCCTCGGATCAGAAAACTAAAGGTGCATATCTTTATTTAAATTTCAGTGGACAAGTAAAAAATTAAGAAAAACATGAAAAAAGGTCTAGAAAAATCATCGATAATTCTCTTATAGTGGATGTCACACAAGTTTATTCTGGGTTGTTACAAAAGCTATAATCTAAATGTGCCCTTGATTCAAATAACATTTTTTAATGATTTAATTGGATAAATAACTGAAAACGACAAACATACCAATTTACAGAGCCTAGAGGGATTCATTTGTAATTAATAAAGAATTACAGTTCTATCAGGGGGAGGTCAACATTACCACTACTCTGCCAAAAATTTCAACTCATTACCACTACATTTTTTCAGATTTTCGACCGATCATTACCGCTACATTTTTCCGACCAAAAACAACTCATTACCGCTACATATTGAATCAGCCCAAAACAACTCATTACCGCTACATATTGATTTAGCCAGGTATGGTTCGGTACATGAGTTCAACAGAATTCACTCAGATCCCCACTGAGAACTGCTGATAACGAACAGCATCATCACTTGCCGATTTGTGGACGGTGAATTACAGGAGGGGGTTTTAACCAGTATACTGCTAATGTTACTGACGGGTATTAGACAGGTGTTTGTCGGGTATTTGAAATTTTAAAAAAATGGAAAGAAAACCTTGTACGTCATTGGGAGAAGTTAGTTTTGATGTGGTACAAGAGAAGGAGAAAAATTGACCAGGATTTAGAAAACAACAATATGTCAGCAAATGGCTTTCAAGGCTTTAGCGATAGTGTAAAAACATTTGACAAAACTTAAAATTTTATCTATGAACAGTGCTTGAGTTTAATTTTTTTTTTTGTGTGTATTATGAAATGAAATTGATTTTAATGATAAAAATACATCCTGCTTAAAGTCCTACTTTCACCTCCCCGTGGTGAGCAGGGGAAACAGGTCTTATGCATTTATAGGTTGTACTGTACACGCATATCTGGCTGGCTAACGAAAGAGGCAATGTAGCGGTAATGTATACTTTTTTATGTAGAGGTAATGTAAGGTTTTTTGTAGTGGTAATGACTATGTAGTGATGATGAAAATTTTGAAAATGTAGAGGTAATGATACCACCCTATCAGGGTAAGACATAGTGTTTTCACAGTAATTAAGACTATAAACAAAACTGACCAATTACCCCATGGTCTCTATCCGGAAAGCCATGGATAATTACCTCCAAATCTGCTTAAATAATTTTTTTAAACAGTAAATCTAAACCCTATGTGTAGAAATTTATTTTATAAACATCAATTTTGAGAAAATAATGTTCAATTTTACATATATTTTATTTTTTCCGACTAACCGATTGCAGATTTTAATTCTAACCGATTCCGATCGTTCTGACCGAGTTGGTTAACTGGTTACAAACTGCCATCCCTAAAATATTTATATATTATTCACTAACATGTGTATATCCTTACCTCTTTGTTACGTTTGATAAAATTTTTCTTTCGATGCTTCCTTTTCTTGTGTTGGCTGACATTTCACTTCCAATCTGAGTTGGTACCTTGTGCACACTGATATTCTGTGACTTAAATAAGTCAATGCATAAAATATTTAAAACCTTTTTTCAAAATTAAAATAAACACACAATAATATTTGCATACCTGATCCCCTAGTTGTTCCCCCTTGTTGCTGGTTCCTCTGGAGCCCTGGGTAATCACTCTCATTTAATTCTGTAGTGAATACATCTGGCCCTTGGGTCTCACTAATACTAACGCCTATGTTGATAAAATAAAGGCATCAGAACAATATATCAAATAAAAAGTGAGAAGGAGGAATATTACAAAAAATCTTATAAAGCACTGTATAAAACAGTCCAAAAGAAATTTATACAATTTCCTTAAATGGGCACATTCAAAACTATTATCATTTGTATTTGTAAGATGTCTGTATGATGAATCATGACTAAGATCACACTGATATATTATGAAGCTCTGAGCTCAAAATTTATTCAGTGTGCATGCGTTTTATACAATCATGAAATATTCTATCAGAAGAATTTTTGAGTCAAGCTTTTGCAATTTTGATATTACAATAAAAACCCTTGGAATCATTTGACCTTGATATAATAAGCTTGCATCTGGTTACTGTAGACGTACCATTTTCCACGGGGTCATAATTCCGCGGAATCTCAATTTCTGTTTGATCAGTGGGTAGAAAATTACGCGGATTTCTTAGACTGTCACTATATGCCTTACATTTATATTAAGTACGCTTATAAATTTCCGCGGAAAATTTGCGGTACATAGGGTAAATTAATACCATGCGGAAAAAAGTACCTCTACAGTATCTGACTTTTTTTACATTTTGCAGCTCCCTGTTCTTAAAAAAACAATACCGTTTGTAAGACTGAGACATGTACACCCTTTAGTCAAACATGTAATCAACCCCTATATCATAAAAACATGTATGAGCTACTAATTTTCTTTACACATTTGGCCTAAATTAATAAAAAAAAAAGTCTCATTAGGGAACCCTATGTCTTTATCAAAATTAGATACCAGTAGAATAGGGTTAGACCCTCTGTCTAAAAAAACTTTTTGGAGTATTTCATTACACATTACAAAGTAAAGGTGACTTGGAAATAATACTAAATAGGCAGCTAGGTGAAAATCAATTTTCATAATGCCCCTCCTCCAAAAATGCATTTATAAAATTCCTTGACTTATCGTAGTTAGATATTTCATACCCTCATTGTGTCTAGGGGGCAGTGTAAGAGCCAGATATTTCTCTGTGTTGTTCTTTTCTTCTCTATACTCCCCATCTCTCTCTGTATTCATAGCTTCAATCTCTTCTTTTATCCTACATGATAAATGCCAAAAATCATTTCAATCCATCATCAAAATACAGGTTTATTAACATGTAGTCATATAACAGCTGTTATATGTGGGAACTTGTTTTCTGTTAGCTCATTCCTTTACCTTCTTTCTAACAATATCATTCTTTTAACTTCTCTTTCTTTTTTGACTTTCTTGGCCAGGATTCTGTCTAGCTTGCGCATCTTTAGAATGGCCTCCTTTAGCTTGGGTTCCATGTTTTCCAGCCCCTCCTCCTCCTCTTCCCCCCTCCCCCGGGCTCCTGGCAGCTGACCTTGTTCTAGGGCTTCCATTCCTTGCTTGTAAACCTCTAATTCTGATTTCATTTCTTCTCTCATTTGTTTACTGATTTCTGCTTTCATTTCTTTCATGATTTCATTTTCTTCCTCACTGTCCACATCAATTCCATCTTCTGCAAAAAAAGAAAAAGTTGTGTTATTTTGTGAATTGCTTTTTTCCTCACATTAACTTTATTATTGGATAATTGCACAAGAAACTGCTTCTGGATCAAGATTTGATTTTCACACTGAAATTTATGGCAAAGCACAGTATTTTCTTTAAAAAAAAAAAAGAGCCATGTTATAAAACTAATACTTGCAAACATTTGTGATTGTCTATGACTATGACTTGGTTTTGGACCCTGGAAGGTATCTAATGGCATATTTATTTGGCTGATTAAGGATAATGTGACAAAGTTGACTATTTTTCATCTTTTTTAACTGAATAAAGCATGACCATTTTGTGTGTTTCTTTACAGTCAAGTATCAACAAATGTACTTCATTTCATGCAAAGTTGTCTGAGGCATAGCCAATGCACTTGAGCAAGATATTGCTTTCAAAAACTGAAATAATTTTAGTCATAAAAACTTTGATATCAATTACATACCATATGGTAACAATGCACCATTGTTTCCAGATAAATTTTGCTGGGGAGGTGGAGGTTTTGGTTGTGACACTGCTATTGGTCTTTTTTCATTGGATGCTTGTAGATCATGTGTCAGTTTTAGAAGCTCTTCCTCTTCCTCATTTGCACTTGGCCACTCCTCCTCAGAAAACTCATCCTCCGAGGAATCTGAATCAGATTCTGTCATGTCTGCCAGTGCCTCCAGATCAAGATGTAAATCCAGTTCCTGGCAAACAAGAAATAAAACAGATTTTTGCAATTTAAATTGATTCACCTAAATAACTGTAAAATCATTCATTTTCATGGGGTCCAATTCTTCTTGCTTATAACAACTTAACCTACCAAGAACTGATTGAAGTAACTGATATAACAGATAAATAACTGATATTTTCAACTGTTGAAAATTTCGAAACATATCTGATCTGGTGTAAATCTGCTTGCAAATTTATTATACATGTATTCCTAACTCTAAACCATAAAATAAATCATTAAAAATTTACCAGTGTCATTTTCTTCTGATGATATTTTAAATGGTAAATTTGAGATACCAAATTTTCAACATGTGTACATTTTTGTAAATCTAATATACAACTGAACTAGTAAAGAACATACCGCCAGGTCATCGTGATCTGTACGAATCCCATTGCTGTAAGATGATCGACTTTTGTTCTTGTCCATGATCTTTTACTGAATGACTTTCTTAAGGCCTCTGATGCATCTTAAAATATATTATCTGTTTAAAATGCAAAGAAAAACTGTTTGACCATTCCTTTATCATATATACTTTTTGCAAGAATCAGTTTTGAAATCAGTAAGAATTTCATTGAATTTTTTTAAAATATAGACTTAGCAAAGACTTAAAATTAAAATGTGACTGTTGACAAGGTAATTACTATACAAAAAATCATAATTTTTTTTAATTCACCAAATTTCCCCTTTTAAGGCCTATATATATTATTTTTTAACAGATTAATGATTAATCGTGTCCATTTGGTATCTGGGAAAGAAATACATAATTTGTGTTTAAAGAAACAGTGAACACATTTTAAAGTATCTATATAATTTATATATCATCTGTATGCAATCCAGAAAAATTAAAAATAACTTTACCATTTCTCAGTTGATGTAATTTCCATGGAGATTTGACGCTTTCTTCACCATAAACTGTATCTCGTCGTATCAACAATGGATTTCTTGATAGTAAACATTGTGTGCGCTGTTAAACCTTGTAAAATCAAAGAATATCGTTACTGTGAGATATATTTTAAATTATTCTGTATTTTAAACAAAACAAAAACTTAGTAAACAACAGAAACAACCGTCAAGTATCTACCATTTCTTTTAGGAATTTTCCCATTTCCGGTTCAGTAATCCCGAACCCGATAGGAAATTGTTTCTAAAGGTAATCTGGTTTTATATTTTACCGTACATATTATTTAATTGAAGGATGTCTTTAAAAATATTGAAATGATTTTTGTATTTTATTCTTATGGATAATAACTGACTCTAACTGTGTTATGAATGGATCAAACATCCCGATACCAAATTACCTGTCACCGGATAACATACTTTTGAGACCTACAAACAGTGTACATGGTGTAGGCATAGTATTACACCTTGGTAATGTGGAATGACATGGTTTTTGGTTATTATGTTTAACAGCTGAGAACACAAACGTATTTCTGTAACATTGCATATGTTTT